CCTTTAGGCTCAACTTCTTCCTCTCCTCCCAGACTCACTTTCACCTCTGTTCTGATCCAGACATAATGGAACTTCGCCTGATGTCACAGGTGAGGTATTTTCATTTTTACGATAAACAAATGACGTCACAACCACAGGACTGTAATTTCACTGGAGGACTGAACACGTGGGTATCTGATGCATAGAATGAAAGTTATTGTTCAAACACAAACAGCAGAAATAATTGCAGAAGTAAAGCAAATGAACAGCCAAGCAAATTAATTCCTTTTTGAATCACTGTTCCTGGGTTCCAAGTGCAAATGATTCTCCTTTCCTACTTAGGAAGCCTGAGGGGATGAAAAAGTGTCCAAGATGGTGAAATTAAAATTAGCTACTGAGCATGAAACATGCAATGATTGCACTTCATAACATTTTTATTGCCTCAGTGTTGTATGAATCACTTCACAGTTCCACACTGTTACGATGAAAAAAAAAATGACACCAATAAAGTCTAAGCAATTGATGTTATGACTTCATCAATCTAAGACTAAAGGCATGCACAGAATGACAAATATTTGCAAGAATAGTGAGGAAACTACCACCTCATTCTGAAGAAGCACAAGTTTCATCTTTGTACCTTTCTGAAGAGTGGCCATTTTCACACCAGAAGATGGAATATTGAAATAATCCTCAGTATAGCTCCATGTGACACAACCTTACTTTCCCTTTCAGAAACAGTCCAAGTTTGGGTTTCTCAAGAGTTACGAATGCAGCTAATGCACAGTGAGGCTACAGCTAATACAGAATGTTCCCAATCAGAACATTCTCACCCCTTTGAGGCTTTGCATCAAGATGGTATTAACAATGACCTGCACTTAGCTTTATTTTTTTAAAGGTCTACAAATTCTGGAAGCGTGAAGCTGAATTATCTTTAGAATTTCACTAAATAAAAAAAAGTTACATTTATTGCTACTTAAAACTTCCAGAAGGACAATAATCTATGCTTAAAACAACAAAGCAGCATCGTAGTAATCTATCAGATACAGCATCAAACATACAGCGCAAAGAAGTGACCTCCCACAGGGAGACTGTACCTTCTTTTGACAGTCATGCTCAATAGCTAACCAAATGCAACCTTAAATTCCTTCTACTTATAGTTCAACTTTGACATGACTAAATAAGTATTTTAGTCTGGCTGTATTAAAAAAAAACCCAAACAACAAACAACTCCCATCTCCATAAAGCATCACTAAAGCCAAACCTGTTCTGTAACAGCAGAACCTAACAATTATTTTTTTTTCTAACAAATACTAGCTTTCTTTTTTTAATTGAGTAGCTAGACATCTTGACTGAGGTATTAAAATCTCTGGTAGGATTCTTTCCTTTAATATAATAGGAATTTCATTTAAATTTATAATAGGAAGCTCATTTCCCTTATAAAATCATTTATAGAAAATAAAGCCCTTTTTGTTAACTCTAACCTTGCTTCCTTGCAAGTGTGCCAGAGGCACTTCAATATGGATCAGGTCATGAATATCACAAATTACAGCAGCAATGTGTGGCAACAAAGGATCAGATTATTCATATAACAGTAATACCTTCTTCCTTCTTTGATAAAAAAAGAAGTAAACAGTATGCACTGATCTCTCAGGACAAAAAGTCAGTTCCTCTTAAAATTGCGTTTTTCTGATACTTACAAATCCAGGTTTACAGTATGAAGTAACGGCACAGCACAAATCTTAGAATGATGAACGAGGGGTATTACAGGGTATAATAAAACCTACTTCATTTTATGTCAAAATTCTCTCCTGTTTCACATGACGTACAGGTATGAAGTTAAGCTAGAGTAAGAAAAAGTTAGCAGGCGCTATTTTCGCATAAAGTTTCCTATGGTAGATTTATGGCAGATGCATTATGAACAAAGCAAAACTATGTACAGGCAGGCACAATTACGGAAGAATTAATGTACCAACAAGAACAGCGTTGGCCATAAATGCAGTATAACATAGTGAAATGAAATTCACAGTTAATTTATCAATCAGTATTTCAATGCAGAAAAGCACACTCCATTAAAGGTTGTATTTTTCCTTAGGTAATGCTGGAACACACAACTGCAGCCTATTTCCCAACTTGAAACACACACACTGGGAAAGGCTTGTACGGTCTTCATACAGGTTCATGGGGAGGGAAAAGACAAGAGTTAAGGACCAAATATAAGTGCAAAGATGTTATTCATACACACCCGTTATCCATTACAGAGCCCTCCCCACATTGCCTTACAACTGTAGTGTGCAAAACTGGCTTATCATTAGCAAAAACTTATTTCCTGAAATCCAAAGATTTAGTTCAAGTAATAACACAATGAAGAGGTATACTACCTTTACTATGTCCTATTCCTTTACCGTAACCCAGAAAAGCTTCAGGTGACGCTCACATTAAAGGCCAGTTGCCCAGTCCAAAGGACACAGTATTAGCCCCCCACAACGCTGCACTTCAAAGGGAAGCGAGCCTTTTTGTGCCACCCAAATACTCTTGTCGAACTCCGCTAAAACCGTCTGCTGGACCTGGGCTGATAGAAACTCCAGGAAGAAATGAATGAAGACTTCCAAGATACCTTCCCAAAGACAAAACTGAAATTCTCCAGCAATATGCAGCACTAACTTCCGATGGGAGAAGTCTGTCAAGGAGAAGCCTTAGAAAGATGATGCTGGTATTGCGAAAAAACTTAGAATCTCTGACTTTTGGGGCCAGGCTGGAGTCCTAACTCTAATTAAATTGTAATCTGCTTTTCCCAGGTTTCATAAAATGCTGTCTCAAATAGGCTTATCTTCAAGAAGTGCAGCATGATCTTCTCATTAAAGAATTTGTTACAATGAAAACACATTAGTACTAAAGCCATAAAAGACTGAAGAAATTACAGATGTTTTCCCCCAAACTAGTGGATTGTCCTAATATCACTTTCAAAAAATTGTACATTCACAAGTCTGCTTGAAAAGTGGAAACTTGCTGTTTAAATGTTTCTTCAATGTTATCTCTATTTTGTTCTTTAATTAATAAAAGGATACATGCACTGACATTATAAACACTAATTTGCTATTTAGCATCCCAAATTAGGAAGCAGAACCATTTACGCACTTCATTAAACACCACCTAAGAACACTTTGAGATTAACAGGAGACAAGCTAGGCTGTTAAATGCAACTTCAGAATACGCGTAAGCCACAGTAAAAAGACACTCCTCCTCTCCTGTCCCTCGCTATGAATGCTCCCTGGCTCCATCCTATCGGCACCAGCCCTCATGAAATGAACCTTGGAAATCAGTGATATCCGACACGTCTGCGCAATCACAAGTGCCAGTTTAAGGGAAGGGACGGGAATGCAGGGACACGAGCAGCGAAAGTGGGGCGTGCTCTTTTGGCAGCACAGCATACTCAGATTGGCACAAGCCAATCATGAAATTGCATTTTAGTAAGCACAGAACAAATACTTACGCCCTGAATTAAGGCATCATTTAAGCACATGTGGTATACAGGAAGAGACAACGTGGTGTTTTTCTCCATCTTTTCTGAAACAGGCACTGCCTCCTCCTCTCCTTCCCCTCTTTTCCTCCATCCACCCCAGCCCTTTAAAGAATCCTTGCATTGCTCCTTTCAAATTATCTATGCATACAGGACACTGAAATAGGTTTTACGTTAGGGTATACCAGTGCTACAGGAAGATGACAATAAATGGTAAGTCTTTCAAAACTACAACAGTAGTTCCTTGTAGTTCCATCAGCAAAGGAACAAATGCTGATACTTGGGAATAGAGAGCCTGAAAGGTAGATAATCACATCCGCGTGCGTAAAACAAATGGAAGGTTTACTAACACCACTAATATAACAAATCCTCAAAATTGATCAGTACAGGCCCTAAGTTATCTCTGCAAACCTCATTTGCAAAATCCTTCATGAAACAAGACTTCAGGTTATTTTCTTTCACTTACAGACAATAAGGTATAATTCAGACAACAAATTATTCCTTCTAACTTTGCATCGCAAGTCTAACTTCAGTGTAGAAAATTATTTTTATTTTTAAATTTGTGCTAAAAGTGTTCACTGTTAAGTTATGGACTCAGAGGAAATGGTACTAAATTTTCTATTATACATAATCTTGCCATAGTGTGGCAATCTTTAAATCATTTGAAAATACAAATACACTAGAGTGTTTCAAGAACAGTAATATGGGCATACTGAAGAGCTTTGCACCATAACCAGAAATCTGAAAAGTGCCTTGGTGCCTGAAAGAGAACTGCTTTTAGATTTTTTTTTTTTTTAAAATAAATTAAC